CCCCCCCCCATCCCGCTGACCCCTCCCCTGCCTCTGGACATCGTGGTCACCCCTCAGGGTGAAGGATTGCAGCACCAACATGAGGGAATACACGGGAGGATGGGTGGTCCCCGGGGTGTGAGGAAGAGGGGTGAGAGGGATGGGGGGAGTAGGGATGGAGAGTCCCTGAGCTGGACCCTCCCCAGGCTCAGAGGGGAAGGGTTGGAGAACACCCGTGGTACCTTTGGGTGTGTAGAGGGTCTGTACCCAGGGGGGGAGTCCCTGGTGGTCTGTCTGTCCCCCGGAGAGATGGTTATGCCAGGATGGGGACAGGGACACGGACATGGACACGGACACAGACACAGGCTACCAGCCACCCCTCTGGGAGGCCAGAAGGGACACCAAGAGACCTGCACCCACCAGCACAACCTGGACCCTGTGGCACGAGGGGACAAAGGGGCAGGAGCTCCCCTGGGGAGACACCTGTGAACAGTATGGGCAACCTCAGCACACACCTCGGGAGGGGTCCTGCTCCTCCCACACTGCCCAGGACCCCTGGGTGCCTGTCAGGCCCTGCAGCCCCCATGCAGGAGGGTGGTGCCCACCATTCTGTGCCTCAGTTTCCCCGTTGTGCTCAGCAGGGCAGGGTGGGACCCCCCGGACTGAGAGCAGCCAGGCCGGAGCACCCCCCACCCCACACGGCCCCATCCCCGCGCACCGAGGCCGCGGCGCCGGCGTGTGCTCAGCCCAGAGGAATGTGCCAAATCACTCCCAGATGTGCTCGGCGGCCGCTCCGACCCCCCCCCGCACCCCCACTGGGGACCCCCGAGCGCCCCACGGGGGGCTGAGCCCATCACCGGTCAGGTCCCACCCTGCCACGGGACCCAGGCCCAGCCCGTGCCGCGGCGTCGCAGTGCCGAGGCCCCGTCGTGCCCCAGGATGGGCAGGAGGGCAGCGGGTGCCAGGGCGCGGCCAGAGGTGCCACCAGGACAGGGTGGCTGCGTCCCCGGTCCCGCCGAGGTCCCACGGCCCTCGCCCGGCGCGGGCCCGGTGGCGGCGCGGCGGGGTCGTGTGGGGTCCTGCCCCGCACCCCCGGCCCCGGTGCCAGGCGGGAGCAGCCGAGCGGAAAGGGGCTGTCAGATGGAATCTGGGTGCCGGCGGTGACGGCGCGGCGGGAGGCGGCCGTGCCCGCCACGTGGCCGCTTATGTAAGGAGAGTGCAAGGGAGGACAGCGAGGCGGCCGGGGCACCGGGGACACCGCCGAGGGGACACCGGGCCCCCGCCGCGCGCACGGGCGGCCGCGCGGCCGGACACGCGCCCGCGGGGCTGCCCACGGCACAGCTGGGCACTGCCCGGCCCCGTGGGCGCAGCACGTGTGTGTGCGGGGCTGGGGGACGCGGGCACACGTGTGCGGGGCTGGGGGACAGGATGGCGGTGGCCCCTTTGGCCTCCCCACACCGCCGCTGCCGCCCCGGTGTCCCGGGGTGTCCCCTCGCTGCTGTGGCACTGCCAGCTCGCGGTGACGGAGGGCCCCGGCGGGAGCTCCGGCACCCACGCGCTTGGATCCGGCTGCGCCATTGATTTTTCATCCACTGCAGCAGAGAGCAGAGCCAGGGCTGGCGCTGGCACGGCCAGGGGGGACGTGTCCCCCACGTTGTCCTGCTGTCCCCGTCCCCACCTGCACAGCCAGGACACTCTGGGGACACTGGGGACCCTCCAACCTTGGCCACCACGGCCTGTCTGACCCCGGCGTGGGGGTGCCCCCGTGCCCTGCCTGCAGCTGCCTGTGCCACCGTCACCTCACCCGGCACCGTGGTGGGCACAGGGGGATTTGGGGCAGCCGGGGGGACACGGGGCACGGGGGCTGCGCCTGCGTCACCACCACGTCACCACGGCCCCACACGCTGCCAGGCGCTTCCTTCCTGACACCGTCACCGTGTGCCACATCCCCACGTGCCGTGGGGCTGCGTCACTCCCCGGGGCCTTGGCACAGGGCAGGACACGACTGCCACAGCCTGTGGGGAGCCGGGGACCCCTGGGCAGCCCCCGCCCGGCCCAGCTCTGCCCACGGGCAGGAGGACACGAGTACAGCCCCACGGCCTGGTGACAGGTGGCAGGGCCGCGGTGCCTGCTGATCTCACAGCGTGGGGAGGGGCAGGGACAGGGTCCCCCCCGGCCCCCTGACGTGGCGAGGGCGCAGGGACGCGGCGCAGAGCGGGCACAGCCTGGGCTGACCCCGCCGCCCGCCCGTGCCGCCGCACACGTCCGACACATGGCAGTGCCGGCTATAAATAGCGCCCGGCAGCGCGGGCTGAGCCTGCCCGCGGCCCTCGGGGCTCCCAGAGCCCCCCTGTGCTCCTCTTGCTCCTGTTTCCCCACTGCTCCCCATGGCCAGTGGCAGCTGGGGGGCCCTGGGTGCCCCCAAGGTGTCTCCCGGCCTCACAGGGAGAGGGAAAGGGGGTGGGAAAGGGGGATTGCCCTGGGATGCCCCGTTCCATGGCGGGACCCAGCAGCCTCACCAGGCTCCGCTTTGTCTGTGCCCTTGTCCTGGGCACCCAGTGCCAATGTCCCCATGGGGATCCCACAAGGCCACGGAGACAGGGGGCAGAGCCAGCATGGGGCTGGCACACAGCAGGGTCACACCATGGGGCCAGGGGGAAACTGAGACACATTGGGGACCCAGGAACCCCGTCCTGTCCTGCCCCCAGAACCCCTTCCCTGTTCAGGAGCTGCTGAGGGGGCAGCCAGGGGTCCCAGGGGACTGGGTGGGATGGTCAGAGGTGGGGTGTGATGGGGGATGGGTGGCACTGACAGAGCCTCGTCCCCTCCCTGCTCCCCCGCCTGCCCAGAGCCCACCACACCCCCCCGAGATGGGGAAGCTGCAAAATTAGGTCAAAGCGTCCATTATTTAACAGAAACGAAGGAGCTGCAGCCAGGAGCGGGGAGGGGGGGGGCTGAGGGGGGGCTGCAGCCCAGGAGAGGGGCAGGGGGAGACAGGGATGGGTCCCCACAGCCCTGGGGAAGGGAAGGACCAGGGGGGCAGTGGGGGGAATGGGGGGGCAGGAGCCAGAGCTCAAACAGAATGACTTTATTAATGGCAGGACATAAAGGGGTCCTTGCTGTCCCCCCACCCCTGGCAGACCCTGCACCCCCCTCTGCCCCTGCCAGCACCGGGACCCAGAGCAGGGCTGGCACTGGGATGGTTCTTCCTGCAGCCAGAAGGGCCCAGAAGGTTCTGGAGGGCCCCGGAAGGCTCAGAAGGAATCAGGAGCAAACACTTCGTCCCTGGGTCATGGCAGGAGCAACAGCAGACCCCAGGATCACACATAGGGGTGGGAACAGGGCCAGGAGCACCAGCACCCACCACTCCCAGCTGCAAAGGGGCTGGGGGGGCTGCAAAAGCACTGGGAGAGGGTCTTCCAGCCTCCTGCCTTGGCTCCCACAGATATCATAATATACCATTAATAATATTAATATATTAAAAATATTAATAAAAGAACCCCAGACTGAGGGCCCCAAGGCACAACTTGACAAGTGTCCAAGGCTTCGGGAGCCATTTCTCTGTCCCAGCCACAGCACTGAAATCCCCCCCCGGGGCCATGGGGAGGGGGCTAATGCAGCCCCTGGGCCAGGATGCTGCCCACCAGCGCCGTGTCCTGCAGCCTGTGCTCCAGCGCCGCCTCCTCCAGCTTCAGGGAGACCTGGGAGGGAGACAAGGGACGCTCAGCACTGCCCTTGTTGTATCCTGCCCTGGTCTCACCACCAGACCCTGCCACCCCCTGGTACCTTGGCCAGCCGGGCCTCCTTGGCCCTCTTGAGCTCGAGGATGCCGCGGGACTCCAGGAGGGTGACGAGGGACAGACACTCAGCCTGGTCCACGGCGGGGAGCTGCTGCCTCCGGCACACCTGGCTGTAGGTGTCGTGGAGCTGGGGAAGGCAGGGGGGCGTCACAGTGGTGGAGTCACACCCCAGGGAGACCCCCAGGGACACCCACCCGCTGCCCAGATCCAGCCCCGAGAGGGTCCTGCTGCCACACTCACCTTGCCCAGGGTGACCTCGCGGGCGCGCAGGTGCCGGGAGAGGAGGAGCAGGGAGCAGAGCAGCACCTTCTGCTGCAGTGGGAAGGTGTCCTGGGCCCCCCGGGGCCCCCCCGCCAGCCGGTCCCCAAACACCTCCGAGAGCACCCGGGAGATGTGCAGGAGCCCCACGCGCTTGGGGACGGGGGACACCGGGGAGTCACCTGTGGGACAGAGAGGGGGGTGAGAAAGGGAGGCGGCAGCGGGGAGCAGGTGTCCCAGAAAGGGACCCCAGACCCCGGTTAAGGCCAGCCCAGAGGTGCCCCCTCAGGGTTTTGGCTCCGGCAGCACCAACTCACCCCCGGGCAGCGGCTTGAGCAGGGTCTGGCCTCGCACCTCCAGCTCCACCACCTCCACGGCGCGCCTGGGGAGGGACAGCGCTGAGCACCGGGCAGAGGCACCTCTGGCACAGGTACCCCCGGTGCAGGGGACCCGTGGGGGCTCACAGGGGCCATGCTGGCCCTGGCACTGCCAGGTTTTGGGGCACACACTGACCTGCAGACATCCAGGGCCTTGCGAGCGTCGCCGGAGACCGCGGAGACCTTGCGGGCGCAGAACTGAAGCGCAGCTGCATCCAGGACGGGGTCACCGGCCACCTGCCGAGGCACTGGGGCCATCAGTGCTGCCCATCACACAGGCAGAGCCCCCCCATGCCCTCCCCATGTCCCCACCTGCCCCAATAGGATGGCAAAGCCCCCCATGTCTCCCTTGTGTCCCCCCCATATCCCCACCTGCCCCAGCCGCTCCTGCAGGATGCGGGTGAGCTGCTCCTTGGTGTAGGGTGGGAAGTGTAGCAGGCGGGGGCTGCCGGCCGGGTGGGCTCCCAGCCTGGCCAGGCTTCGATCTGTCAGGTCCAGGGCGTTGGCCAACCCTGCAGGGCGAGGAGAGGAGGAGGATGAGGGCTGTGACCCGAGGAGGCAGCGGGAGGGGAGCGCAAAGGCGACCCTCCATCAGCCCCCTCAAAACGGGGAGGGTGCCCAGGGGGGCAGTGCCACACTCCACACACTCACCCACGAGGACGAGCCTGGAGCTGGGCAGCCGGGTCCACTCGAAGAGGGTGTAGAGCACATCCTGGCCTTTGCTCTCCAGCTGGTCCAGCTCATCCAGCACCAGGAGCCTGCAGGGGGAGCGCAGATGAGTCCCCACTCTGCCCACCCTCCCCTCAGAGCACCCTAAGCAGAGAGAGCTGCTGCCAGGCCACCTCTCCCAGCATCCAGGGGGAACCCACACCAACCCCCAGGGATGAGGAACTCACACCATGGGCCCCTGGGCCGTCAGATGCTTTTCCAGGCTCCGGATTTGCTCCCGGCCAGTGGCTGTGGGCAGCCCCAGGTGCTGTGCCAGGGCAGGGAAGACACCGTGGGGGCTGCCCAGGGCCATGCAGTTCAGCACCACGGTCTTGCTCCTGGCCAGCTCATCCTGCCAGGAATGGGAATGTTACACCAGCTGCTGCCCCCAGCCCCCCAGAGCAGCCCCCTGGCCATGGCACAGACCTTGCAGTCGAGCAGAACACGGCTCAGACAGGCTGTTTTCCCAGTCCCGGGGGCTCCAGACACGTAGAGGCTGCCGGGCCGGCGGCCCCGGACGTGCTCCCGCAGGAACTGCCGCAGGATCCCGGTCTCCCGTTCCCGGCCCTGCAGCCGGTCAGGCACGGCCACGTGCAGAACTTGCTTGGCCTGCTGGTAGCAGGTACCTGCACAGGGAGGGACAGGGCTCAGGGGGAATATGGTGCTGCCAGGACCCCATCCCCATCCCATCCCAATCTCCATCCCAATCCCAGCTGTATCCCCATCCCTGGCTCTATCAACACATCCCAATCCTCATCCCTGGCTCCATCTCCATCCCCAACCCTATCCCCACACCCATGCCACATTCCAATCTCTATCTCATCCCCATCCCCATATTCCCCAGTTCTACCCCCATCCATTCCCTGATCCCTGCCCACACTCACCTTCCTGCCGGAAGAGCCTGGTCCGAGGGTTCTGCCCATTGACCCTCGAGCTCCGGGGGGTCTCTGGCCCCCCACTCCTCGGGGTCGGTCCCGGGCTCTTGGGCTGCTCGGGGGAGGCCGGGGGGTCCCCGAAGAGCAGCCGCCGGCCCCGGTTCTCCTTGCTGCGCTTGGCCGGGGAGCAAGGCAGGGCCTGGGGGACGTTGCAGAGGTTCTCGTCACCTGCAGGGGGACAGGGAGCGGTGACCGGGCCGCTCTCCCTGGGGGGCTTTGTGCTTCATCACCTCCCAAACCCCGCGGGAGCAGCTTCTCCTCCCAAAATGGGGGCGAAGCGCCAAACGCAGCTGGGCCAGGGATGGGGGTGGGAGCCGAGCCCATCCGCCTGCCCCGGCCACCCCAGGGTGAGACCTCCACCCTGCAGGGGTGGGGAGGGGATGGGCCCCCCACCATTCCCGGAGGATCCCAGGGCAGGGGGCAGGGGGGGGAACTCACCCAGGCGCTTGCGGGGACTCAGGGGCTGTACTTTGGGGCTCAAGGGCTGCGCTGTGGCCCGGGCCGAGCGTGTGCCCGGAGTGGCCTGGCCGGGGGAGCCCGAGGCCTTGGGGCGCGGCGAGGGGCCGGGGTCGCTCTTGGCCGGAGGGGCGGCCCCGAGGCGGCGGGCGCTCCTCGTGCGGGGGAAGCCGATGGTGGGCTGGCTCTGCGGGCTGCGGCTGCTCATGGCGGAGGCTGCAGGAGGAGGGAGACAGTGGTTAGGCGGGGGGAACCTCGGTCAGACCGCGGGGACCCCCAGCCCCGTGGCTCCCGGGCACCCCCCCAGCCCGTCCCACAACAGCCCTGTCCCCTATTTCCGCCCTCGTACCCCCCGGCACGACCCTGAGCCCCCCCGACCCCCACAGTCCCCCCCGATCCCTCGTGTCCCCCCTGACCTCCCGTGTCCCCCCCGCTGCCACCACCGACCTTCTCGCGCCAAATCAGCCCCGGCTCCGCAGTTCGCGCCACCAGCCCGAGCTGGCCTCGCCCCTTCCTCCCCATTGGCTGCGCTGCCGCCGCCACCGCCAATCGCCGCGTCCGCAGGACGGATCGCAACAGAGCAGCCAATCAGCGAGCGCGCCCGAGACATGGCGGAAGGCGCGCGGAGCATGCTGGGAGCTGTAGTCCGGACGGGACCAGCGCGCCCAGTAACCCCCAGCCCGCCCCCGCGTGCTCCCAGTGCCTGCATCTCCCATCCTGCCTTCCCAGTGCCACCAGTATCCCCCATCCTGCCTTCCTGCTGCCACCCAGTCCTGCCTCTCCCTTCTCCCAGCACTCTCCACCCTGCCTCCCAGCACTCCCAGTATCCCCCCCTTCCCGCTTCCTGTGCTCCCAGTTCCCGCACCCGTCCAATCCCACCTCGCCATGCTCCCAGACCATGCAATCCCGCCTCCCCATGCTCCCACTGTCGGATTCCCAGTGGTCCCAGTGCCACCAATACCCTCCACCCTGCCTCCCAGCACTCCCAGTACCAGCCTGGCTGCAGACAGAACGCCCTACCCGCAGCCCTTGGGGCCATCACCCCCCCAAAAGACAAGAGGGGTCCCTAGGTACCCCCCCTTCTCCAGCACCCTCCCCCCAGACAGTGCCCTTGACATCATTTATCACTTTATTACTTTTATTTAAATGCAATTTCCAGCTCCTCCAATTCCCTCTGTTCCCTCTTAGGAGGGACCCTCGCTCCAGGAGGGGCAGAACCGTGTTGACCCTTTATTTAACCCAAAGGGCAATGCTGAGGGGGGTCATCCTCCAGAAAACCCCCCCCAAACACCCCTCACCCTTCACCCGCATTGCTCCAACCCCAACAGGGAAAGGTCCATCGTCATAGAAAAAAAAAATCACCCAAATCAACCCCAAACCGTTCTGGGGGAGGTGCAGCCCCCCTGCAGCCCCCGCCACCTTCTTCCTACGGCGCTTGACAGGTACAAAGAGATCAGTAACTACGTTAGTGTGACCCCCCCGCGGGAACACGGAGAGTCCGGCCGGGACCACCCGTCGGACAGGGAGTGTATAAGGCAAAACGTCACTGGCTCCCCCAGGGCCCCCCCCCGTGTGCCCCCTGACGCGTCAGAACCAGCACAAACGGCCCCCCCCCGGTTCCCCCCCCAAGATAATTAGTGTTTTCTTGTTAAAATGCTCGAGTTCGGGGGTTCAGCGGTGAAAGCCGAGGGACCCCACTCCCCCCATCCCAGCCTGGGGGGGAAGTGCCGGTTTTAGAGGGGACAGGGATGGGGTTCCCCCTCACCCAGCACTGTCGGGGTCTCCCTGGATGGTCCCACTCACCCCCCCCCCCTCTACTGGCTCCTGTGCAAAAAA